GCAGCCACAGCCCAGCCCTCCCCAGTGACCGGGGGGAGAGCTGGGGGTTGCCAACCCCCTGTGATGTGGGGTTGGCAAGCACAGCAAGTAGGAGGCACCACCCCCTAGTAAACTATGAACAATATTTTTGAACCTGGATCAGCAGCAGTCATCTGGGTGTACCACTCCTCAGCTGACAGCCTCTCCATGTGGTTGCCCTTCACAACCCAGGAATCCGGGGCTTCCGAAAACACAGCACCATGAAAAGATTCAATCCTCACAGCACAGACATATCCGTAATGGTCTCCACATCTACTGTATACATTTATGATTTTGTGTTTGTAATTTAAATTATGTTCCCTTTCTCTGGCAATATGACCGGGACAGAGGGTCAGTTTCTTTCTGGCGTCATCTATTGTTTCTATTAAATCGTCAGAATTTACATCTTTATTGCTACATCCTACAACTATGCTGTTATCGTTCACTCCAATTATTAAATACCCTCCTTGTGTGTTTGCAAATGCAGAGAGATAATCTGGCAATATGTCTTTGAGGTAATGCAAGATGTTCTTAGTTGCAAAGTCTTTAAATTCTACATCTGTCGATTCTGTGAAGTTCAGGGTCTCTCCATGCTCCAGTCGGTCTCTTTCAAAAAACTGTGCGGCCGCATTGCTTATATCTCTCTCCTCCTGCACGCCAGCTGCCTTTGCTCCCTGCACATCATGCAGCTGGGGTTTTTTAGCACTGGGCCCACTCTCCTCTTTCAATTCTCTTGTGGTATGGGCTTGTTTCTTCTTGAGAAATTCCAAAGCATCACCAGGTTTCATACTGACAACAGAAGTGCCAGATCTCAGATACAAACCAGAGCTCAGGCTGCAAATACGTGGTTTTATTAGGGCTGAGACATCAAATGAATTTTTACTGCTCCATGATTTAACAAAAATCAAAAAGGAATTGTTTTGCTGCATATAGTTAAAATATTGTGTCAAATCTGGGCTCTGAATGCAATCCCGAAAAGCAGTTTCTATATCCAGTCCAACACTATTTCCTTGTAAGGTGTAGCCCTCATTTTCAATCTCGGCTTTGACCACTCCTCCTCCTGAGTTTAACAAAGCACACACTGCACGGGCAAGCTTAAGTTTTTGCTTCTGTCTTATATTTTTGGAAATCTTTTTTCTCTGGCTCTCACCAAACGTTATTTTTCCTACTTGTATAACCACTTCTGGATAATTTGTGGCTAAATCAACTTCTGGCTGCTCCTCCTCAGGGGCCATCTTGTGCCTAAGAAAACAATAACAAATAAATAAAAAATCCTTAGCATTTAGGTCGGGCCTTTTCTCTTTCAGATACTTTACACATGTCAACTAAAAAGCTGACTGTCCTTAAAGCAATAAATAATGAAGAAAAAACTGCTGCTAATGAACATGTACAAGTAGGTTGGGCTGTGAATGAGAGAATGCATGTGTGAGAGAAAACAATAATGCTGTACAGCAGCGGTCACCAACCAGCAGACTGGGATAAACCGGCAGATCTTGGAGCCTCTGACAGGGGATCCTGACTGGTTTGGCCAGGAAGCTATCAAGCACTGGCACTTCAGCTGCCCCTCCCCCCAGTGCCCTGCTGTTCCTGCCCCCTGCCCTGGAGCTGCCCCCAAGAGCCTCCTGCTCGCTGTGCAGGGGAGGGGAAGCACAAGGGGGGGTGCTGATGTCAGGATGTCATCCTCCCTCCACTCTTGTACCCCGTCTCCACAGAGTGAGCAGGGTGAGGCCTTGGAGATGGGGTGGAGGTGTGAGGCAGGACCTCAAAAAAGGGGAGGGGAAGGAGGCGTGACAAGGGTATTTGGGTTTGAAGTAGACCCTGGATTGCCTTAAATTGAAAAGTGATCTTGTGCTTAAAAAGGTTGGGGACCCTGCTGTAGGTCAGTCCCGAATCCCAAACTCTCTCTGCTGCAGAGGCTGCTTTGCACAAGAGGAGGGCCCCATTTTAAGTTCAACAGTACAGATAAGCAGCTGGTCACCCTTTGCACCTGCAAGTGTATTAGCATAAAGCTCTCCCACAACACTCCCTCCAGCTGTTACAAGTACATGTGGACTACAGCTCCTAGCCACAATTCCTGGCCCAGCTCCCTCCTTTCTGTGTCTTAGTTTTTTTGAGCAGGCACCTTTTGTTTAGGGCAGGGGTGGGGAACCTACGGCCTGTAGGCTGGATCCAGCCCATTGTTTATGTTCATCTGGCCCAACAACTCTCATACAGGGCAGGAGCAGCAAGTGCCAGCTTGCCTCTCTAAAGGTGGGCAGCTCTGAGCCTCAGCACCTCCCTTCCACACTGGTTTGGAGCCACCAGCTCCAGCTGGCTCCACCATGGGTGGGAAGCCCCAAGTCCTCTGCAGTTTAGGATATTTTCTAATTCTTTCTCTTTAAAAAAACCTAAATTAAGTTGCTTTTTACTCTGTGTGGCCATGATTGACTTTTTCTATGGGGCAATGGCTCATGGTTGGAAAGAGGTTCCCCACCCCTGGTTTAGAAGGAAAGCGGTGAGTTGATAGCTGTCAGTGACAAGTCTCTGAACGGTGGTGGGGAGCTGAAATTTCTGTTTTTACGCTATGTCATTTGAAATTGACCTCTCTCCATGCTGAGAGCTGACCATTTATTCCTGCTTTTGTTTCCTGTCTTCTAACTAGTTACTGATCCATGAGAGGACCTTCCCTCCTATGCCATAAGAGCTTAATTTCCTTAAGAGCCTTTGGTGAGGGTCCCAGTCAAAGGGTTTCCGAACATCTAAATTCACTATATCCACTGGATCCCTCCTTGTCCACATGTTTGTTGAGCCCTTCAAAGGATTCTAACAGATTTGTAAGGCTTGATTTCCCTTTACAAAAGCCATGTTGACTTATTCCCAATAAATGGTGTTCGCCTCTGTGTCTGATCATTCTGATCTTAATAGTTTCAACCAACTTACCCAGGGATCCAGGCAGGCTTGTACTGCTGCTGCTTTGCTGTTTCGAGACTTGAGCTAGCTAGATTAAAGCTACATTAGTGTATGTCTACTCAATCTGCAATTATAGTGATAGAAATGTAGCCGTGTTAGTCTGGTGTAGCTGAAATATGCAATTATATTCACTGATTAGAGTTTAGCCAGGCCCTGCACTGTACCTAGCAAAATGATCTGTCATTCAGGTTCCTATGTGCTAACATTTCTCGTTAAGAAAGGTACCCGGCCAATTTAATTAGTAGAATAGTACAAATAGTACCTTTTGTTTGCTTCTGTCAGAATTAATTTCAGTTCAGTTGAACTATCAGTTACACTGTATGACTGTTGTAATTCTGTAAAACTCCCTATTGTCAGACAAAATTGATTTAAATCAACAAGTAGAAAACTTCAGCAGTTTAGGATATTTTCTAATTCTTTCTCTTTAAAAAAACCTAAATTAAGTTGCTTTTTACTCTGTGTGGCCATGATTGACTTTTTCTATGGGGCAATGGCTCATGGTTGGAAAGAGGTTCCCCACCCCTGGTTTAGAAGGAAAGCGGTGAGTTGATAGCTGTCAGTGACAAGTCTCTGAACGGTGGTGGGGAGCTGAAATTTCTGTTTTTACGCTATGTCATTTGAAATTGACCTCTCTCCATGCTGAGAGCTGACCATTTATTCCTGCTTTTGTTTCCTGTCTTCTAACTAGTTACTGATCCATGAGAGGACCTTCCCTCCTATGCCATAAGAGCTTAATTTCCTTAAGAGCCTTTGGTGAGGGTCCCAGTCAAAGGGTTTCCGAACATCTAAATTCACTATATCCACTGGATCCCTCCTTGTCCACATGTTTGTTGAGCCCTTCAAAGGATTCTAACAGATTTGTAAGGCTTGATTTCCCTTTACAAAAGCCATGTTGACTTATTCCCAATAAATGGTGTTCGCCTCTGTGTCTGATCATTCTGATCTTAATAGTTTCAACCAACTTACCCAGGGATCCAGGCAGGCTTGTACTGCTGCTGCTTTGCTGTTTCGAGACTTGAGCTAGCTAGATTAAAGCTACATTAGTGTATGTCTACTCAATCTGCAATTATAGTGATAGAAATGTAGCCGTGTTAGTCTGGTGTAGCTGAAATATGCAATTATATTCACTGATTAGAGTTTAGCCAGGCCCTGCACTGTACCTAGCAAAATGATCTGTCATTCAGGTTCCTATGTGCTAACATTTCTCGTTAAGAAAGGTACCCGGCCAATTTAATTAGTAGAATAGTACAAATAGTACCTTTTGTTTGCTTCTGTCAGAATTAATTTCAGTTCAGTTGAACTATCAGTTACACTGTATGACTGTTGTAATTCTGTAAAACTCCCTATTGTCAGACAAAATTGATTTAAATCAACAAGTAGAAAACTTCAAATGTATATGCATTTTAATCTTATCTTGTACTTCCACTTTTAGTTATTTTCCTACAGAATAGGAATTCTGTTTCTGTTTGTTTTTCCTTGGAATTTACTTTGATTTCTTGATTGACTGTGACCACTATGAACAAAGTTGGAGGACAAAAAGTTGGGCCAGTAATGTATTAAAGGTGGGTCTGGGAACCAGGCTGGAAGAGCAGAGGCTGATAGCGTCACTCCAGCCGATGAAGCAGAGACTGTTCGTATATTTGGTGTCACCACTTCCATCCAGCGTAGGGCAACAATCTGCTTCGCAAAGTTGCATCCCTAATCCTGCTCAAAACTTAGGTTGGAAATTACCCTTGTCAGCCAGGGGAGACTCATCCCCCAAGGCAGGGCTCGGGGCATGAGGAGCTTAGGTAAGGGACTCCAGGTCAGTCCTAGGAGGGGGAGAGAGGCCTATGGGAGCTCTCAGGAAGGTATTAAGGCCTACCCAGAGTATGTTAAATGAGTGAAAAGGAGCAACTGAAGAACCTCGCCATCAATCAGAAATTCATCTTTCACTTTGGTTTTCCACAAGACGTCTTCCAGGACATTGGCAAACAACTTCAGTGAATAAACGTCACCCTGTTTTACACCTTGCTTAACTTTGATGATCATGGATCATCAAAAAGCATTATTTCCATAGTTATGTCCATCATGGAATCTTGTATGATTCTAACATACACAGGGGAAACACCCTGTGAAAAGAGAGCACTTAAAACTGCATTTTGTTCCACTGAGCCAAGGTTTTTTTAAATGAATAACAAGCATAGTGGGATCTTGTACTCTTTAAACCTTTTGGACATCTGTGTGACCACAAAAATATGGTCCACTGTGGAGAATCCCCTATGAAAGTCTGCCTGTTCCCTTATCATGTTTTCCTCGAGGACACCCTCAATATGGACAGAGATCATTCTCATAAAGACCTTATAAATATGAAAAAGCAGACAGATGGGTCGATAGTTGCAAATGTCGTCTCAGTCACCTTTTTTCAGCAGAAGAATAGTTTGAGATCTCTTTCAGTCTTTCAGAATTCTCCCCTCTTTGATGCATCTTGAGAATCTCACGCTAAGTGCTTTAAAAGTGTATCACCTTCTGCACAAAGTTTTTCTATGTGTACTTGGTCTAAACCTGATGCTCTTCCCAACTTCATCTTCTGAAGGGCTGCTGCCACTTCTTCACAGAGCACATAAGGTTCAGGGGTGACGGAGCCCAGGTATAATGGCTCCACTGTTGTTGCTGATGAAAATAGCTCACTATAAAAGAACAGGCAAATTTGTTCCATTTCACATCTGTTTGTCATTTTACTACTGTTTTTGTCAACAAACGTGCTTGGAAGAGTTTGGCTTAACTGGATTTCACATTGAGTTCTTTGCAAACTCGTTTTCTCTTCAACTGCCATTTGCTTTTTCGCAAGCCGATACTGCTCATAATCATCTATCATCTTTTTTCTCAACATTTTATAGACGAACTTATACTCCAGGCTGGTATTGCCCTTGGCTGCCATGTCTCTCTGCTTGGCAAGAAGATCAAGTGTTTGCTGGGCAATATGATTCCTGGATTTCTATGGCTTCTTCACAGTGGCAGCAGTTTTACGTTTGTCCAACTTCACCAAAAAATGATAGTAATTGGAATCAATATATTTCATTCCAGCCATTTCCTATGACTCAGAGTCAACAGCATACTTAAACCGACCTGAGCAGAACTATTGTCCCCACATGCAATGTCTAACACTGATAAGGACATTAATATTTCTAGAACAAAATTTTCCAGAGAATCGTGGGGTGGGGGTTTTTGTTTTTAACAATTTGAGAGAAAAGAAAATTCTAGGATTTTTCCCTGTGGAACACAAATCCTGAGTTTTGACTAGCTCTAGTGTTAATGATTTATAGCAGACTGTTTATTTCAGATTAGAATGTAGGAAATTATTGGCAGTGTAATGGTCCACCGAGTCCAAGTACAGGGGAGAGATAATAAAATATTTGATGGTGAACAACTAGATTATGAAAATTAGGTAAGTAGGCAACCTGGACTAAGGAGAATGTAGCACTTTAAAGACTAACAAGATGGTTTATTAGATGATGAGCTTTCGTGGGCCAGACCCACTTCCTCAGATCAAATAGTGGAAGAAAGTAGTCACAACCATATATACCAAAGGATACAATTTAAAAAAATGAACAAATATGTTTCCTCCCCCTTCCCACCCCCCCCCATCCCCCTTCTGTTCTGCAATGTGATTTGTCCTTTTCATATTTGTTCTTTTTTTTAATTGTATCCTTTGGTATATACGGTTGTGACTACTTTCTTCCACTATTTGATCTGAGGAAGTGGGTCTGGCCCACGAAAGCTCATCATCTAATAAACCATCTTGTTAGTCTTTAAAGTGCTACATTGTCCTGCATTTTGCTTCAGGGTAGATAAGGTTGGCTGAAACAGACCAAGAGCGGACGGGTTGCAAATCCAAAAAGCTAGGTCTGATCAACCAGGGCTCCCTCCCTGGCACTGAATCTCGCTGCCGCACATAAGCTCCGAAAGGGGAACAAATACCGGTCGAAGTTGCAATGAAAAATCCAAAGAAAGGAAAAACATAAAGAAAAGAATATCTCCTGAATCTAAGCAATGCTTCTATCTTTCTTAACATGAGTATTATATATTTGTTAACTCCATAAATTGTTTAAAAGTAAATCAGGAGAGTATATGTGGAGAAGTTGTTATTTCTTGTTTGTTTGTTTTTAACTGTACTGTTTTTCTACTTTTTCTTTGTATATTATATTGTCTTAAAAGAATAAAAAATAGTAAATTGATTTAAATGGAAAATTAATTATAAAGTAAATAGAAAAAATAAAAAAATCTTTGTTTAACCCTAAAAAGAAGTATTCCTCTGTCTGTGGTTTCAAATCCTTTAAAGAACCAAAAAACCCAGTTACCAAAACCCAGGAGGTGTCCCATTTTTCCCATTGGGAAATATGGTCACACTGTTTTCAGTGCTGCACAAGCAGAAAGGTACAGGAGCTGCTGTCAGCCTCTGGGAGGAAGTGGGGGGAGGGATGAGTTCTGCAAAGATACAAGCCAGATCCTTCCTCCCCTTCCCCGCCTACCCAGCTGGGAGCAGTCCCTGTCCCTTCCTGTGTGGCACAGAGCCAAAAGGCTGCTGCTACCCACATTCTGGTGCACAAAGGATGACCAGATGTCTGGATTTATAAGGAGATTACTGGTAAAATCCTGGAGAATCCTGGAGATTCCCCAAAGAAAAATTTGGGGATTTTTCTTATGTAGGTGCCTATTCCTCCCCCCCCCCC